AAAAATGTTATCATCTTCGGATGATTGTTAAGTATTTAGATACAGAATTCCCAACTGCCTAAGCTAACTTAATACCTTCTCTGTAGACAAATGAATGTACAAAAATCACGACAAAGAACAAAATACTTAAAAAGAAACCCTTAATTAACTTAAGGTAAAAAAAAAAAAACCATTAAAAATGTTAATTTGTACAAGAGTTTAAAAACATATCTTTGCAAATAACTTTTATTTTTAAATTAAAATTAGTTTTTTGCATATAATTTTAAAGGCAATTTCAATGTATTATTAGATTTAGTTTTCAACTTAATATTTGAATTATCTCTGTAGGCAGTCTCTCAATGCACGACATATAATTAAGTTAAAACAAAGTGTCAAAGTGTCTTAATCTTGACGTGGAAAACTTCACTCAACAATGACTTGGCATTCTGGACCTAACTTGCTTTGTCAGTTCTTATTTTTTTAAAAAGAGGAAGAAAGGGAAGTGAAAGGTCATGCTAGCAGGGACTTTAAAAGTGCTGACATGTTTTCAAAAAGCATGCAAGCATATTCTACTCTATAGGCAATGTGCTATTTCAGACTTTATAAATTTGCACTTGACCTAATTTTTTTTGCATTGACTAGACATATAGATAGATAAGTGAAAGGCCATGGAAAACATATTTGAATAGGCCCGAAGACTGTGAATCAATCAATAAAAGGTTTTCTAATACATCATATCTATACATTTTTTTTTCTATTTCCTGGGTCTTTATTTAAAATGACAGGGCATGGAGAAAAGGGTATATGGTGATTTATGACCATCAAGTTTAAATCACTTCACTATAAACAAAAATATACATACCAAAAGAATGAAGAACATAAAGAACACAAAGGTAGTGAAATAAATTGGTCCCAAAACTCGATTAGCTTCCTCAATCTCTGCAAAGTTGATATCGCCCAAAATGATACGGAATTGAGTGAAGCTATAAAAACAAAACAAAACACAACAGAACAGAACACTACAATACGAAAACAAGGAATGTCTGACAGTTCAGGTAACGTTTCTTAAAGATGATTTCACATTTTTTGGACCTTTTTAGCAGTGTCGTTAGCTGCCAAATAATAGAAAACTGTCAAACCCTTTAGAAAACTCTTGCTACTTAGATTGGCAATTGAAGCCTTTGGTATGCACGTTCATGCCACTTATGTTATATGTGGAACTATAATTGTTACTAGGGACTTAACAAAGAAATTGACTATAAAAATTCAAATACATGATTTGGGTAAAACATGGTAACTTTGAATCTTCACAGAGTTACATGGTAACTCTGAATCTTTTGCTGGGCTCGGTGGCTCATGACTGTAACCCCAGGTCTCTGGGAGGCTGGGGTGGGTGGATAGCTTGAGCACAGGAGTTCCAAGATCAGCCTGAGCCTGTCTCTAAAAACATAGCTGGGTATTTTGGACAGTGCCTACAGTTCCAGTTACTTGGTAACCTGAGGTAAGAGAATCACTTGAGCCCAAGAGTTTGAGGTTGCTGTGAGCTACAACGTCATAGCACTCAACCCGAGGGCGACAGTGAGATTCTGTCTCAAAAAAAAAAAAAAAAAATTTTTTTTTTTGAAAGATAACCAAAATGGTTAAGATAATGCAAAGATTCAATATTGTCATCTGTACTCAAACTGGGGTTAAAGTGGCCAGCGCTTGCCCATGCTGGGTCTTAGCAAAGTCATTTCCATTTTAACTTTTACAAAACAGCAATATTAATTAGGGATCCCCGCGTACAGAGCCCCGCCCACTTCCATGATCATGATTTCTCCTGTCCTACTACTTTCTAAATGGGATATGAAGCTGACAGTAGCTACTTTTTTGTTTTTAGTATCATATTTGGGAACTTTGGAAAAAGACTGAAAATTCCTGTACTGATCTGAATTTATCCTCGAATATAATACCTTTTTTTCCTTAGAAAATAACTTGAACTTCAAAATATATGGCAACAATAGTCATCAGGAATAAAAATAAAGGCAAATGGCCTATTAAAAGCTGCCACGTGCATTTGGTGCTAAGAGGACCTTGGCCTTTGGTAGTGTCGGTTTACTGTGGCTGTTCTGCTATATCTTAACTACTCTAGGGCTGCAGGCTTAAGCATCAGCATTGTGGAACATATTGTTTCCTTTGTACTGGTGGCTCAATGTTTCTAAAAAGGTAATTTTATTCTTTTAAATAACTATCTGAAACACTTGATTCTCAAATAGCACCTGTGAGGATCTCTTTATCCCCAAGGAGAACATCTCCGATTACATTTTTCTTCTTAATTCCGTATATACTTACATACACTCTTGGAAGGTACTGAAGTCATCGATCTGCGTGCCAAAGACGAGGTACGCCAGCTGCGCATATGCTAAGAAGATAATGAAGAACATGATAGCAAAGCCGAACAGGTCTTTGGCACACCGAGACATGGTGGTGGAGAGCTGGCTCATGGTCCGGTTAAAACTGATAAATTTGAAGAGCTGTAAAGAGAAGGAAGAAATTGACAGACACATGGATGAACAAAATGTGGTCTGCGCACAACGTGTGAAATGTCACTCAGTCCTAAAGAGGGATGGGATTCTGACGGGGCCACAGCAGGGATGAACCCTGAAAACATGATGCTCAGTGAGACAGGCCTGCCCTAAGAGACAAGTGCTACTGTGTCCTCTCATATGAGGATTCTGAGCAGTCAAGTTCACAGAGAGGGAAAGCAGGAGGGAACCACCCAGGGGCTAGGCGGGGGAGTTAGTGTTTAATGGACACAGAGTTTCACTGTAGGATGAGAGGAAGTTCTGAACCGCCTGTTACAGATAGTTACACAACACTGTGAGTGGGCTTGACGCAGCTGAGCTGTGCTCTTAAAAATGGTTAAAATGTGGCTCATGCCTGTAATCTTAGCACTTGCGAGGCTGACATGGTGGATTGCCTGAGCTCTTGGGTTGGAGACCAGCCTGAGCCAGAGCAAGACCCTGTCTCTAAAAATATCTGGGCATTGTGGCGGGTGCCTACAGGACCAGCTACTTGGGAGGCTAAGG